CGCGGCCCCGCCTGCGCATCGTGCCTCTAGTCTGCCTCTACGTAATTATTTATTTTATCGCTACCCATTGTTTACAAAACGCCGGGTTTTTCCTAACGTCGCTTGCGTCGACCGCCGACCAGCACACACGAACGTCGCAGACACGCGCCACGTTACAACACACATAATTCATGGTAAATTAATAATACCTGGACCCTGTTTTCAATATTTCCAAAGTTACTTTGTAATTGAAGTGAATATTCATTTATACATTTAAGTACAGTTCTGTTGTAAGCTGTAGAACATTTTACGTGTCGTAGGAGTGTGCGCTTGTGTCGTTCGTGAGGCTAGGCGGCCGCGTCGGATTTACGCTTAGCCGTAGTTTTGTTCTGTGATGTTAACGATATATGTAAAGTTAATTTACGAGGGCATTTATGAATTAAGTATTATGTTGAAGTTTTACCTTTGTCGCCCTGTATGAGTACGCACGCGGCCGACGGCAGTCCGACGCGCGCTCCGGCTCACAAGGAGGCCGTCGATTACCTTTGTTTTATTATTTATGTAACTTAATGTTCCGCTTTAAAAGTACCATAGTATTTATTTTTTTCTAATTAAGATTTATTCATAACCTTATACCCAGTAAGAGAAATTTATTTTCTATTTACGCATAGCATATTAAAGTTTAATTATATGTAAGGAAGTGTAACAAAGTGTGCAACTCGACTAATACCGTGTGTTGATTGTGAACTCGACATTGTACTGCTGCTAAAACTGCACCACATTCATGTCATATGTCGTATTAAATGTCACAAAACTTTTTATATACCAATTTATTATTTGTTAGATAAACATATGTTTCATTAAAAAGTAATTTAAAATCGAAATATTTAAAATTAAAACTCAACTATCGATGTGAAATTAGTAGCCAAAAAGTTACTATAACCGCGAGTTCTAGTATTTTACAGGTAGTATTTAAAATAACATTTATGATATAGTCTCCAGCTTTCGTTGTCTGCGTTTTAATCCGTAGTTTATATTTAATATTTAATAATAGTTGTAATCCTATGAAGAGTGACTAAATGTAAACTCAAAGTTTTATGTAATTAAAAGGTTATCTTATTCGAACCCACACATTACTTACTATACACACATAGATTACGTAATAGAATGTTCAATGATATGTGATTATGCTCGCATTTACGTAACGTGAAGTCGCCCGGTATATACATCAATATAATTCATAGTTAAATCATCTATTCTACAATTTAGAACATTGCAATCTGTTTCAAGATACATACATTTAGGCAATATTGTAACATGTTACGTTCATTTTATATTCTTTACAACTGTTCCTTTATCGATTTAAAACTAAGATTAAATAAGTCTGTTATTGATTTATGTAAATTCTTTTTTTTTATAACTTAAAAGGTAGATCTCATAACATCACAGCGTACCTAGCTCAGGTCGGTAGACCTCGTTTCGATTTTTATTTACGTATTTTTATTTGTTTTTCGTAAATTTGACTGAATTTTGTATCAAATAATTACAGAATAGGTTTGCACTTAAATTTTGAAAAAGAATGTTCTACATTCGAAGTGTATAAATAATATTAAATAAATAGTTTTTCACATAACACAAATAAGAAATAAGTAACTATTTGGTTCACAATAGAATTATAATATAATTTTTATATAGGACAAGTTGCACGTGATTTCCTTACAAGCAATTATGCATTTTTACAATACAAACCGGTTTGGTATTCTAGTTACATATTACTCACAGGTCAGAGCATTATTTTGGCCTAATACGAATTAAGCTTAATAGTGTTCTATCGATAACGGCTAGATTGTATTTGATGACTAAAAAGTAGTTATGTAGGTATTTCTTACTAGTCTATCTCGAAATGTTGCCACTACATCAATGTTCTGCTTTGTAATATATGTTATTTATTTTTATATTTCTTTACGGTTGTATATTTTCTTTTCATTTAGTGATTAAATTTTGTTTTTCTTTAGTCTCCCAGGTGAACATGTTGCTATCATCTCAATTCACAACTTAATTTGTGTAATTAATGTTAGTACTATTTATGAAACATTGGAGTATTGTAATTGTAAATTAAATATAATATATTCTTTAATACACTTTGGTCTTAAAAAATATTTTGTTCGACTATCACATTAGGTCTAGATATAGAACTTGGATACTTGTCTACTGAAACCACCGCAACACTTGTATGTAGAGAGATCACATTGGTGTTATGCGTACAACATAAGTTTTAAATTGATACTGGTCTGATAGACCTAGTGCCTTATTTTGATTTTCTTTGCTCAATTTGCTGGCCCTTTTTTTATCTATATATTTCATAGCCAACGAAAAGAAATGGCTATGAAGAAGCATAATGCGCAATTATAAACTATATTTTCTTTAACTAAGGCAAAATTTTACATTTAAGTTTGATCGATTAATATACCTCGACGTGCTTGTAGCTCGCAGAAAATTTGTATAGTTGATTTTTAATAATTTTGGAAGCGTGGTGCATTAGCCGTTGTTTGTTATTAACTTATTACCAAAGATGGGTTGGTAGGTCGAAGGAAATTTGGCGGACCTTTTTCTTCATAGCTTAATGAATAAAATGTTTTGTATCTTTTATAAAATGCAAAGTTAACGAAGTGTTTTTGTTATTAATAATTAAAATGTGATTGACCTTATAGACTTAGATAGGTGAGATAGAAGTGGTGTTTTGTCGAACTACAAACTGCCAAACAGTCAGATTCTGCATGAAATTTACGAGTTCCATGACTGTAAATATCATTACAACTGTAACGAGTCATTTAAATGTAAATTAAAATACGAGTCGACCTCATTGCAAACTTATAGCCAATATCAGTTATCGTAAACCAGACACAATATAAGTAAGGCAAACATCTTGAAAAACGTATTTGGTAAATTGTCAAAAACCATTGAAGTTGCATACTGTTTGTGAAGATCCACCGCATACATATAAGCCTAAACGATTTTAAATTTATTATTGATAAATGTAAGACCAGTTGCGTTTTATATAATATTTCTATGGCAAATATGTAACTAATGGCATTTTTGACATTATTGAATGCTCTAAAATCTGCATTCTAATGTAATAATAAAATCAAGAAATAAATTTACAAAAATGTGTTTTATTGTTTATCTCTTCACACCGAAATGCTTCACAGGTCATTGCTTCAATGCATTCTGACCTTGTGTAAAATAAAGTTAGGCGATCATGTCATTTAGCACTTAACAGATCTCATAACCGTAAAGCACCACACAAGTCTAAAACATATAATGTGCATTCGCAAAAGTCGCACAATATTTAGAGTAATGTTGGAAAACGTCTAACTGCTTTAGTTTTTCACACGGTAGTTCTAGAAATCGAATGAGTGTTCATTATAACAACTTCGAACCATTGAACAACCATAAAGGGGTAAAAGGTTACAAGATCTTATTTGGATATGCCGAGTGCTCAGTAATTATAAATAAATTATAATAGTCAAGGAGTGATACAAAGTGAAAACATTTAAACCAGTAGGCTTATGCATACCACTAACAGAAGATGTCTAGTATTATTGCAATAAAGCCAATATTATTCCTCGTCTTTGTATCATTCACGTGATTTTATTTTCATAAAATAACAAAGTTTTTTAATTGCGTAACCATCAATTCGGCAGACTGAATGCAAAACAATGGTTATCCAAAACTATATTATAACCTGTGTGACCTGAGCGTATGTATTGATAAATCATTAACAAGGCTTGTTATCAGAAATACGTAATGTTTATAGTCATTTTCTTACATTCGTTGAGTGACGATCATTGTTCTCGGTAAATAATATGGAGAAATATATAAGTGTAAAAGAATTAGAGGAAGCCGCTGCTTCTGTGTTACCGAAAGCTGCACGGGATTATTACAAGAGCGGGGCAACGGACGAACATACCTTGCAAGAAAATAAACGCGCTTTTCAAAGGTAAGTTTTATATAAAACTAATTGTACAAGTAACTTATTGTATAAAACTAAGGGTGCTAAATCCAAGGGGAGATGAAGCTGCCTCCCTCTAGACCATTTGAAAATCGTTATAAAAACTTCTTCGAACAAGACCAAATTAATGGTAGCTGACGACTTCCTTGAAGTAACTAATTTAAAACTAATATGAAATATATACGAAAACGTTGTTTTAACTTACTATTAATAACTTATGTATTATTTAAAACAGATTGCGAATTCGTCCAAAATGTCTAGTAGGATTGACTGATTGTAATCTACGAACAACAGTATTGGGAAATGAAGTCTCAATGCCGGTGGGTATATCGCCGACGGCTATGCAGAGGATGGCACACCCTGATGGTGAAATAGCAAATGCCAAAGGTAAAATAACTGCTAACTAAATGTAATATGTTTTGTACTTAAAGATTTTAGACAAAACATGTCTATGTTGAATTGCAGCCGCGGAAAAGGAAGGTGTAATCTTTACATTGAGCACCCTTGCTACGAGTTCTATTGAAGAAGTTGCGAAAGCTGCTCCACGCGCTGTCAAATGGTTCCAGCTTTATATTTATAATGACAGGTTAATACTTATGTGCTTTAAGTTTTTACCAAACAGTATAAGGCTACTTCGACTGGGATTGCAATATTATAATCTAAATCTATATTTATCTAAAAATTGTCTTACAGGGAAGTTACGAGGAACTTAGTGTTAAGAGCAGAGAGGGCCGGTTTCAAGGCAATAGCATTAACAGTCGACACTCCAGTTTTTGGTTTAAGAAGAGCTGACGTCCACAATAGGTTCAGTTTGCCACGGCATCTTAGGTATACGTTTACGATTTTCCTTTCTACACTAAAAAAATTAGTACTTATTGGTTATTATTTTTTTATTTGATCCTTCTATGTAAAATGAAATAAGAAAGAAAATGGTCACGACGGCCACCTGCTGGTAAATTGTAAAAACACAAAGCATTATTTCCTTTTAGGCTTTCAAATTTCGAGGGTTTCCTTTCAACAAAGATACACTCTTCGGGCGAAGGAAGTGGTTTAAATGCATATATAAATAATCTTTTCGACAAGTCGTTGACATGGGATGAAATAAAATGGTTAAGAAGGTAAAACACGATGAGAATCAAAAGTCTTACATTATAAAGACCATGGTCTTAAAATAAATTACATACGTTTTTAGCATAACCAATTTACCAATAATTGCGAAGGGAATCCTTCGAGGAGATGATGCTGTAAAAGCTGTCAACGCAGGATGCTCTGCCATTTTAGTTTCAAATCATGGTGCTAGGCAGTTGGATGGAGTTCCCGCATCGGTATGTTACTTTCAGAAAAAACAAATAAAATCTCATTTTATTTATTGAAATTATACCAATATTTCGTTAAAGTGACTGTATGTTGTATGTTATAGATCGAAGCACTACCTGAAGTAGTCGAAGCCGTGAAGCATTACAATGTTGAAGTGTACATGGACGGCGGAGTGTCGACTGGAACGGATGTTTATAAAGCATTGACTCTTGGTGCCAAAGCGGTAAGTATTCTTTAACTCATAAACTTTTTTTAATACGTCAGCTAATTTAATGATATAAGCTTACAATTGATGTTGGATAAATTATGTGTTTCAAAAAACACTGACGTGAACGTAAACCTTTTACAGGTGTTCGTAGGTCGGCCGGCTCTGTGGGGCCTGGCTCTAGGAGGGCAAGTTGGAGTAGAACGTATGCTCAAAATATTTAGGACCGAACTCGAATACACTTTCAACATTGCAGGTATACTAAAGAGTTATTATTTATTAAATTCATATGACTTATTTTATCTCCTCTTGTAACAGTATGAAAAATGTGTTTAACCCATATTATAAAATTCTAATATGTGGATGTATTTTTTACTAAAGCTACCAACACTTGTAAAATAAGTTTATTAAATTTTGTTGTATTTAATACAGGCACATCATCTGTCGCTGACATTACAAAAGACATGGTGGTACACGAGTCCGCCTACAGTAAACTATAAAAGCAAAAATAAAACTGTCATGAATACTTGGAAAAATGTGTTAGTAAATGTAAAATTAAATAATTGTATAAACTGAAAACTTTATTTTGTGAAACAAAGACACACACTAATTGCACTATCTATTTATTAGAATGTTATAAACAAACTTTATATTATAATTGTTTTTCCTACAACGCTTTTCAATCGGGAGTACTTTCCCCGATAAAATTACTTTAGAATTAGTTTTCGATACAAATTGTGAAGAACAATAGGCGTCATGTAATTTTCGTCCCGCCAAAAGGTTTTCGATATTTTCTGTAAATTGACAATTAAATCGGTATCTATAATTATCATAACTAAAATTATAACCGTGTTGCAAACAAAACGACTCCAGATTTTATTTTTGAAATCTCAATAAGTACCTTAAAGTTACATCCATACAGATTTATTCCCAACTTAAGCTTATTGACGGTTTCTTTTAAAAAGTCATCATTTGAAATTTTTCTTTTAAGTGATAATGTGTCGTTGCAAGTGTTGCATTCGTATTGTAATTCTTCTATTAAATCGTTCCAGTGAGAGTTGTTGCTGTCCTGCTCTAACAAAGCGTCTCTTTCCCTCATGTAGTTGGTGAAACTGTTCGCACACTGACTCTGTCTCTCTCTGTTGGAGTTTTTCCATTGAATTGTATTGTCTTCTATTTTATTAGATCTGAACACATTTGTAACACTTTTTATGATAGTTGTGCATGTCTCATTTATAACGTCTAATATTCTGCTCGCACCGAATCGCCTTTGAGCACTTTCGTCTTTGTTCCTTTTTGCGTCAATTTTTATTTTAGAATCAATGGAAAAGTTTTTAAATTGTTTCTTATAAGTTTTATGTATAGGTCTTGGTGTGAAATTATTTGATCTATTCGTTCTAATTTGTTTAGGAGTTGAAGCACATTTTGGCTTAAAATCTAAAATACTTTTCTGCCTGTTTGCCTTTTTTTCATTTTTATTACAACGACTTACATAAATATTTTCCACATTTGTTTTTTCCAAGAGCATGTTTTTATTAGAATAAATAGAATTATTAGAATAAATTTCTTCATCCTTGAAATAATTTAAATTAGTCGAATTTCTCAATGAATTATAATTTAATAGGAAAGAAAGTGAAGAAAAATCGTTTTTAGTTTCATCTCTTAATTTTTCTACACCAATAGAATCTTTCATATTCTCGATAAAATTATTGTTGTTTTTATCTGTTTTATTAGAAAGTAATGACTGTGGTGTATTTTTTACATTAGGGTTTATATTTTGTTTTTGTTTGAAATTCAAGACTTCTTTTACAATATTTCTCAATAATACCGACGTGTCGTCCATTTCATTAGATTTCAAACTGTTAAAAACTGGCACATGCAGTGCGCTGTCCACCAGCACACCTGCATTTGTGTCTTCTTCATTTAACAAGTGCTTGTTATCTTTTACTTCTTTTATGTAATCTGAAACTTACGTTAACTAATTAAAAATCATATATATTTCCCAACAGTAATTTGTTTCGCGGTTCTTACCTTCACCTTTCAAATCTAACGTGTAAAAAATTATAGATACCCATTGACCGACCTGTAAAAAGAAAAGAATACATTGACCAAGTTGTATATTTACCATCATGTCCAGTAATAACGGGAGGAGAACTCGTTCTTTCTAAATCAAGTTTTTACTTTGTCATTACTGTTCTACTAGACTGTTTACTATTTATATCGAATGAATACTTACATGGGACATAGATCCGTATAATTGTTTCAAATCTTGCAAATCGCTAATTATATCGGTATCTTTTAAAATTTTGTCTCTCGTGTCCGGGTTTGATACGACAGTGTTTAACAGTTGCAAACATCGATCGTATTTCAAAAATTCTCTAAAAAATAAAGTACATTCTGTTTTTTTTTTTAATTTCGAAATTTATTTAAAGCAAATTTTTGTGACCATTACGAGTTTATAACAGACAAATATGCATATGCGTACCTATTAAACATACGACAGCCGCCACTCTTAAAGAACATTTGGGTGTTTCGTTCGTTGTTATGCAGCAAAGTCTGCACTACTTGAAAAACGTGTTCGTTCCCCGGCCGACAGCGCCGCACGCACTGCGTAGTTACATTAAAAATGATACATACTTGTAAGTAAAGAAAAAAATCTGACCAAAATACTAACATCCTTATTCTGTTTATTGTCTATTTGAATAGAAAAACAACTGTCCTATTACTTCGGAGTTGCAATTGCAAGTTGACGGACGGAGGCATATGTGATAACACAGTGTTGCGTACTTACCACAGGAATAAGATGTGAGCAATAGTTCTGATTGGATTCCAAACCGGAACAAGAATCGGCGAGGCATCGACAAAGCACTTGCCATGTATCCTGGTGCTACAAATTTATAATTTTAATGTGTGTATTGCCGAAATATTGATAAAAATAAAAAGAGAATTGTTGTGTAAAGGAATTGTCTAAGCGTTTGTAGTTACCAGTAAACCGTTAACGAAGAGGTTAGCCATGGCCATCAGGCAGCCGCTAGCTCTGATCATGTTCTGTGCATAAAGAACTAGGGCGCGGCCCCGAGTGCGCGCGGTGACATCCTCCGTATGCAGAAGGCTCGCGAGGAAGTTCAAAGTTATGTTGGACTTTTTTTGGTGACCCTTAGTAAGTATCTCGCATACTTTATCGTATAAGGAGTTACATTTTATTATTATTTCTCTGTCTGTGCCCTGGAATAATAACTAAATACTAGAAGAGGAAGAGACACAATTATTTTGTAAAAGAGATGCTTATCAAATATTTTATAGCTAAAAATAAGAAAAACATATTACATTTGACATCATATAAATTGTTAAAATGGATATCAATTTAATTTGTATCTGACTGTCATTCGATAAGTGAATATGTTCTAATATTCTATAGATATCATTTTTTGTGACATTCTCCAAAGACGCTGCAAGATCCTGTAAGAGAGATGTTATAGTAAACATCATCATCAACAAAATAAAGGGGAAAATTTACAAAACCGTCGTAAGACCTGTCATGATGTATGGATATGAATGTTGGGCAGTAAAAGGGACGGATGAAAGGAGAATACATGTGGCGGAAATGCGAATGTTAAGATGGATGTGTGGTGGGATAACACGATTGGATAAAATACGAAATGAGTATATTAGAGGAAGTTTGAGAGTAGCCCCAGTGGTTGAGAAAATAAGGAGTAAAAGGTTAGAGTGGTATGGGCATGTTATGAGAAGGGATGAATCACATGTAACAAGAAGGATGTTAGTTATGAATGTGGAGGGGTACATCGGTAGAGGTAGACCTAGAAAGAGATGGATGGATTGCGTGAAAGGTGACATGATCAAGAAGGGAGTGATGGCTGAGATGACGGATGATAGAGTGCTTTGGAGGACGAAAACCCGGTGCGCCGACCCTACGGGAGTAGGATAAGGCAGGGGAGATGATGATGATGAGTAAAAATTTATCCAATTAATTTGAAATACCAAGTTTCAACTCACCGGCTGTACTGAAGAATTTGTATCTTTATTGAGACACTGTATTAGCATATTACAAAAAGAATTATCATGCGACATTATTAAGAATCTTCAAGCTCTTCAAGTATTTGTGAAAACATTACTTGGCGCAACTTTTGATTGATTGATCTTATACTTCACCTCAATTTCAATACAATAAATATTTTTTTAATTATATCATGTTACTGTTTTATTAGTCGTAATGCCAAATAATGGTAAAACTATATTTACCGACTAAATACTGTATTTTCAGTAGACTTAATATGTAATATTAATAATAATTTTGTTTCCATATTAAAAAACATCGCCTTTCGTATGTCTGCGGTAAGATTTTCACAATATTAACCTTTTAAATTTTACCGCGTTGTAATAGCATTGGTATTTTATTTTTGATTATGGCTTTGATTTGACTTCCTCATAAGTTGCTAATCTTTGACTTTTGCAGTTGGCAATTTTATGAACTAACAATGTCATCTCGAAAGCGTCTTATTTTGACCAATAAGGGAGCGGCAACTAAACAGGTGAATGTCGCCATTATCATAATTTTGAAATTCCAGAAAAAATGTCGCATGTGCTGATGAAATCTAATCATGTGGCCCTGATATTTTATTAACGATTATTAGGTCCAAGACCAAAGAAAGTAATGATGGATTGTGTGAAAGAGGATATGTTTAAAAAAGGAATGAATTCAGATAAGACGGCAGATAGAGATGTATGGAAGAGCAGCACATACTGCGCCGACCCTCTGTAAAGGATAAGGGCAAGTGGATGATAAATAGGGCCATATGGAGGATGATGCTAACTTACGTTGCCACCTTGTCTTGGCTTGCTTAATCCTACAGCTATATCAATTGAAATAATAAAGGCGTGCTTCGGGCAACCTGCTTGTAACTTGTAAATAAGTATCATATAATTTGATTTTGTTTTCGAAATGGACGATTTCAAAAGAAGGAGGGAAGTTTTTGCTTACTGGCAACTCTTAAAACTTTCAACGTCAAAAAAACTGATAAGATCCTTCAAGGTCTATATAAAAGTACGGTTATTTACTCAAATTGTAAACAATTGTGCAAAATCTTGCTTTCAATAATAATTTTATTACTTCTAATGATATACCATTAAATTAAAATCTTATCTGAACCATAAAAAAACAAATACCAGTCATGGACGTCGGCGAATTACTTTCGTTTAAGGTTATATTCATTTATTTAATTAACTTTGATTTTTAACTTTCATTTAAAGTTATCTTAATTCAGAAAACTAAATATCACTTATCAAACTCTGTACAATTGTGCTTAAAGTTGTTCAGATTTATGAAATAGAAAATCAACAATTGACAAAGTGTTCACAGTGGTATGTATTTATTTTACAGCCAACCCCAACTCCAAAACGACCAAACGAGGAAGATAGTGATGGTTCCGAAGATGAAACATCCAAACCTTCTAAGACTCGACGTATGGCTTTGAGAAATGAAAGAACATCTCAAGTTAAAGGAAAATCATTGCCTAAAGAGCCTATGATTACTGATAAAGAAAGGGAAGATATTCTTAGATTTGTGGAGACTGAGACAACTGAGGTATTTATTGTGTAATATAATTTGTCTGTCAACAAGCCAACTTTGTAACATTTTTGTATAGTTCACGTAAAAGAATTTACTTTTATTAGAAGCTGTTATAAAATGTTTGTTATATTATTACTCTCTAAATGTTTAAGTTCTTTTAATTTCAGGGCGAAGTGCTTGATGACACGGCCGTTAAAAAATTAGTACTGAATTTCGAAAAGAAAGCCCTTAAAAACAGAGAAATGAGAATCAAATTTCCCGATCAACCTGAAAAGTTTATGGAGAGTGAAATTGATTTACATGAAGCTTTGCAGGTGATTATGGAAATAAACAGTATTGTAGCTGGTGATGTTCACTCATATTGGTAGCTTGGATAGAACTGACTTGTTGGCATACTGTCATGACAGTAGACAACAATATTGCCATATACTATAAAGAGTATTAAGAAATAATTTATTTTTAGTTGTTACTTTATAATTTTTCTTCAGTAATCAATATTCTAATTGGAAAGGTAAAAAAGAAGTAACAAAAAACCCTGCATTACTTTGAATTGTGTTTTGTCCAAACAAGTACCTAACTTTACTATAAAATGTACATTATCCTAAGGTGTTCTTTTTTTTCATTTTCAGGACTTGAGTGCTGTCGCCACAGTCCCCGATGAATATCCTCTATTGGTAGAATTAAAATGCATTAATTCCCTTTTAGAATTGCTATCACATGATAACACAGATATCTCAACCAAAGTTGTAAATCTACTTCAGGTGTGTTTGTTACTATACTCTATTTTGATATTAAATATTAACTATTAGGCTATTTTAGATTGAAAAACTTTTAAAATTTAAACAAGTAACCTTTTGCTTAGAGATGTAAAAGTAAATGATGGAGAGGAAGGATTAAAAAAAATAGGATTATCCATTTGTTAGATACCCTTTCATTAATATGTTTAAAACATAAAAATGTTTACTTTGATAGGAATTGACTGACGTGGATATACTGCATGAAAGTGAAGAAGGTGCGGAGGAATTAATCAAAGCCTTAGCGGAGGCAGATGCTCCCGCCTTATTGCTGCACAATCTCGCCCGGCTTGATGAACAGGTGCCAGATGAAAGAGATGCAGTACACAACACATTGGGTATGTTTACAGTAAATATAAAAAAATATCTTGTTTTATTATGACTGCTAAATGACGAGAAAAAGTGACTATATAATTGTTTAGTTAATCAATACATTGTTACAGGTATTATAGAAAACATAACTGAATTCCGTCCTGAATTGTGTCATGAAGTTGCAAAACAAGGATTCATACAGTGGATACTTAAAAGACTGAAAGTAATACAATTTTACTCATGTTGAAGTACTAAATTATTACTAATTAAATTTGATATTAATGGAATCTTTTTTTTTTAGTTAAAAGTACCATTTGATGGAAATAAATTGTATGCAACAGAAATTTTATCAATACTACTCCAAAATACACCAGAAAACAGAAAATTGTTGGGAGAATTAGATGGAATTGATGTACTACTGCAGCAACTGGCGGTAATTTATAAATTCCAATAATACAAATTAATTTATGAATTAAAATACTTTTTAATAACTGTTTTTATTATTTTAGTTTTATAAAAGACATGACCCGAGTGGTGCGGAGGAACAAGAAGCCATGGAGAACATGTTTGACGCGCTCTGTTGTGCACTAATGGAATCAACTAATAGAGATCGTTTCCTGCGCGGTGAGGGCTTGCAACTTATGAATCTTATGTTAAGGTAATATAACAAAGTTAATGAAATTAATTTAGCACGAAAACAATTGTCAACCTAAATTAAAAAAAAACATTTACTATTAACTAATTATAATTGTAACATCTTAGTATTCAATTACCATACTTATTTTAGAGAAAAGAAAATGTCACGAAATGGTTCATTGAAAGTTCTGGACCATGCACTGGCCGGACCGGACGGGAAGGACAACTGCAATAAATTTGTAGATATTTTAGGTTTAAGGACTGTATTCCCATTATTTATGAAAACTCCAAAAAGGAAAAGATTGCTCACCGTTGATCAACATGAAGGTAAAGTAATATTATAATTAATTGGCAACAATTTTTTAATAATCAAAGCTATTTATGTATTTAATTATTTACAGAACATGTAGTTTCTATAATAGCTTCCATGTTACGCAACTGTCAAGGCAGCCAAAGACAACGACTTTTGGCAAAGTTTACTGAAAACGATCTCGAAAAAGTTGATAGACTGCTGGAATTACATTTTAAGTATATGGACAAAGTAGACCGGACGGAAAAGGAAATGGAGGTATACATTTACATATTTTGATGATATAATACAATAATATGTAACTAAACTTTCATATTTAGAAATTAATCTCAAGTTTATTTCGACTAAGTACATGTATTACATGTTTTTTTGTGCAGTTAAACAATGATGATAGTGACGACGATGCGCAGTATTTGAAGAGATTATCCGGCGGCCTCTTTACTTTGCAACTTATCGATAGAATTATTTTAGAAGTAAGTTAAATTAATCTAGGCTTTACTATGTTTTGTCCTGGACTGAGTAAAAGCAATACTTTAAAGGGTTATTTTTCTTTTCTTTTTTAAGGTATGTACCGCTGGACCTTCGACAATAAAGCAGCGCGTGCAACACGTGTTGTCGTTACGCGGCGGGTCTTTAAAGATTATACGACACGTTATGAGAGGTACATATATCATGTCACAATACAAAACATAATATATAATCTTTCTTATAACTTTTAAGCTTATTTTTTTTATTTGTTCATGTGCATACATAATTCAGCATAATGTTTGTTACAGAGTATGCAGGCAATCTTGGTGATGCCGGAAGTGAAGAATGGCGGCAGCAGGAACAGCAGCATATATTACAATTAGTCGATAAATTCTAAATCTGAATTGTACCGATGAGTAAACCAAAAAAATAAAACAATTATTTTTAACATGAAACCCTTTTATTTAAATTCAAAACTATTTACTAAAATAATAATTATTGGTAACAGAAGAAAATAATATAAATAAAACGATTTTATTTCTTTAAAAAAAAAAACAAACTGGTCGAACCCTCTGTTCACAATCACAATTTTTATATAAAAATTCTTACATTTTGTGCCCACATGGAAATGATTTGTTCAAATTTAAATTTTCTATAAATCCGTAGAATTAAAATAATCACAATTCACAATAATTTAAATGAAATTGACATATCTTCAACATAATTGGGATGATAATATATCATCGACCTTATATGTTTTTCGTATCGACAAGACGGCATTAAGGCCGATCAGTACAAGAATGTACACAGCAGTTATTTCAATATATAACATCAATCAAACAGTATTCTGTATCAAAGGCACACGTCAAAATAAATCCGTATGAGGTACGTCTCACGTACAGTCTTACAACTACAGTGCTAGGCTATACAGACAGATTAGCAAGTGACAAACAAACTGTACACAAACATATAAAGAATTTAGTAACATTTAACACGTGAAGTACCGTTGACATGCCAGTGCGGACAAACGCGTCCAGAAAACAGTATGCGGCAAACGAGAAGAAATTGTAAAAACCGCAGTAGCACCGAACGTGTTAAATATCCATACTCTCGTAATAAAAAGTGGAATTTGATACTGATAATGAATCAGATGCACATTTATAGATATCAAAACATACAAATTTTGGTATTTTTGTTTCTTGTTCTTTCACAACCCTTTTTCACTTGTCAATTTACTCATACTTATATGGTTTTCTCTTATTTTATAGGAACTATTTGTGAATGTTTTGAATATTAATACTGCCGTAGTTTTTAAAACATCTCTCACTATTTCTTTTTCTCTTGCAATTCAATTAAGTTATAACATTACAATTACACATTAAATATCTCTAACATCAATTCATACTACATTTGTATTAAATAACAAAAAAAATTAAGTAGTAAAAATGTCGGAATGAAATTAGAAGGAATACTACATTTTTTTTCACACAGTGAATTTGTAATAACAATTACATAACATGAATTTTAAGAACGTATTGTGCTACTATTGAGGCTTTCGAATTCTTAGACACGACAAATGGATTACCTAAATTTCTTGACTGTCTATACATTTCTTAAATCTTCTGTATTCTGTATGATGACAAGAATTTACTATTTTTTAAGACATACGTAGAACTTAAATTACCTTATCCTGTTAAAATGTTACATTAAGAGTACATTAAATAGTTACAATGGATTTATATGATAGTAATATTGGTTTATTAGCGATTTAAATGAATCGAACTAGTCTAAGCGACACGCTCACGCGCACTCAACGTTTGACAAGAGGATGCAGTTTTACTACAAGGAAATTGTAAACGTAAATCTATACGTACCTACAGAATTGTTAACATGACATTTTAGCAAAAAAACTATTATGTTCTACAAATAACTGTAACTTTTTATAACAATGTTATAAAAAATAATTTTCATGAGTATTGATTTCGTTAAAATAATTGTCGTTCGCGAATATATTTGTCGTAAATCGCAGGCGCCAAGTCAATGTCTTTATATTGCTGTGTAATGTTTAAATTATAAATGTCGTTTCAAAGTAGCGCTTAGTTGAGTAAATTAAAAATGCTTTTGTCAAATAAATCATGAGACCAATATAGTACATTCAATCAAATGAAATTTAAAATGTGGCTGATTAAAATTTTATATACTTAGGAAAAAAATTAAGGTGATATTAAAAGTATAAAAGTAGTACACAATCACAGTGATCCAATCGATTTGTAATAAATGGTTAATCTTTCTTAAGATAAGTCCAAAATCCATAGTACAATTATAGTCACCAACGGGCTTTTTATTTAGTGATGTCTGAGGACCACATTACATGAAAAATATTTGTATCCAAGTAACGCTTCATATTAAAATGTTTTCTGTAGATATATAACATTTACCGCCTCTAGCTGAATTACGGAACTACATATAATTGTCCTGTATAAACTATTAAAGGCAACAATAAATACTACGCGTGCACAATAACATGAGACCTACGTAGACATATCCCATTCAACATTTAACTTCCTTTATTTATGATGTTTTGTTTAACGCGTAGTAAACGCCAATATTTCATGATGTCAATAAAAAGGAAGCCAGTGCCTAACCCACAACTAACCACAGTGGCAAGATTGTGCACTAACAGAACGAGTACACGCCATTTTCACATTCTGTCAAATCACGACAACGTTTGTTGTGTAGTTTACCTTAGACAACTTTATTCAAACTTTTTTTGTACACCGTACATAACCCTGTAGTGACGTCATCGGACAGGCGTCATGTTATCGTGGACAAGTGTGATGTAACAAGTAGTGAGCGCTAGCGGCGCAGTGAGCGGCCCCGCCGCGCCGGCTAGGGGCAGTCCTTGCTCATCATTTTGCTGAACGCCTTGGGAATGTCCTCGTTGGTCTTTGAGACGTTGCTGGTGCCGAGCAGCGAGGGCGCCGGAATTTGGCCCGTCTGGATGCCGTGCGCGGTCTTCAGTAGATCGTAATTTATCTTCTCTGTCACCACAGAGTCTTTGCTGAAAGATAATACGTTTTATTAATACCTTGAATATAATGAGAAATGATGAATAATGACACAGATAATAAATGAATTCAATAGCAAGTAGCAAAGAGACAGCAGGTAACAGTGTAGGTACTTGTATTGCGGGTGCGAGGTGACGAACTGGCGCATCCAGGCGGCCATGGTGGCGATGTCTCCGTGCGCGCGGCGCTGGATCAGCTTGAGGTACTGCTGCACGGAGCAGTGCGTGTCCGCGTCCACGTCCATGCCCGACAGGTACGACTCTATCAGCGGGATCAGTCCGGGGAACACGCCCTCCTGATCACATTCACACATAAATTATAATGTAATAGATGCCAAAATTTGTAAACTGTCATGATTTATTGATCAGTTTTTAATTTCTTTCAGTATTCACACCTTTCCATTAACGATTTCGTCAATAGACATCTCTGCGTACTGGTCGCTGGCGTCGGGCGCGTGCGGCGTGAGGCCGGGCGCCGCGGGCGCGCCCACGTCGCGCCGCCACCAGAACCGCTCCGACAGGCAGGCGCCGCGCCGCTGCGCGCGCTGCATGTTCTCATCCACCTGCACCACAGTGCTCTTACACTTCCTCTTTCATATTTAAAAAATAAAATTGCACAAATAATTTGGACGTACCTTGCTGATAGGCATGACGAAGTTGAGCCTGTAGGAAAGTATGACGCGCGTGAGCAGCACCACGAAGCAGACGTAGGCGGCGTTCTCGAAGTCTGTGAGTTGCGCCTCGCACGGCCGGAACTCCACGCGCCAACCGATGGATGAGTTGGGCGGCGGCGGCTTGAACCGCATCGTCTGCCAGTTCGTCGACTGGATGTTCTGGATACACACGAATGAATCATAATGTCTGCTCATTTAATAGAATCTTAGCACAATAAATTGTAGGCTCTGAATTTGTTTTCCATACTTCAAAATGATCGGTGTCATTCTTGTCGTCCTGGTTGACCTTCTCCGAGAAGAGCGAGACAGTATCGCGGATGAAGAGGTGGGCGACGTGCAGCGCCAGCGGGTGGTCGATGCCGCCCTCGCGCAGCCGCCGGTAGATCGCCGCGTCGTGCACTATCGGAATGTCGTTGTATCTGAAATATTAAACCACTCACAACAACTCTATTCATTTCCCATATGCGCGTTTTAATAAAACGTCGTTGCTTATTTCAAAAATTATTTCAATTTTATACGTGCAAATACGAAATATGTTAATAGCAAGAAAGTAGAGAAACCAGTCGTCGTTCATGCGGTAGTAGAATGAATTAAGTAAACTCATATAAGAAAAAAATGAAAATTAAATGTTACTGTTATAAATTCAGTGACCTTTAAACATATTTAATTGGAGAGCTATTAGAGCTGTGTTGATATTATCACTTTATAGTTGAATATAACAACGATACATTTGTATCACGTAAATCTTCCACCCATCTTCCGTGAGTGTAACTTCACGGTATTTAAACAAAGATAACATACGAACACGATTTCATTTGAACTGTAGTTTCTGATAAGTCACTCTGATAATGTATGTTGTTTATTCATAGTAATTTATTTCCTTTTAGTCACTCGACAAAAGTAGCGATGACGTCGTTTAATCATTACAAAAAACATTGGTTATTTATATCTTACAAAATGTTGAGCAAATTGTCAATGACTAAGGAGTTTTAAACGATTGCGAGAACGGGTCACGGATTTTGCATTGAAATCTAGAGGCACAATTACGCGAACTACGTGGTTAAATCTATTAAAAAATATAAAACACTGCGCTGTAGATGTAATCTAACTATGGCTTTGCAATGTGTAAACTATACTAATATTAGAAAGAGGAAAGATTTACATTTTTGGATAAAAACTACTGGGCCTATTCCACAATTCACATGTCTGTGAGTAACATAGACATAATTTTTTCTTATTTTTAATTTTAGCCTGTTGCTCGTGACTTCGCTGGTCCAACATACATAAATACAAATCACAGCATATTTTTGTAAAATCACTTTTTTAATAAAAAAAAAAGCCCTACACTTAAGACCCGCTGTAGACTATTATTTTCACGCTATTATATTTCGGGGGTGTATAAATTGGAAAAAAACCGTGCAGCGAGAAAAGGAGATTGCCATGACCTTTGTTTAAGAATGTAATGAAATGTAAACAATAAATTAAAAGTTTCTGAATATCGTGGGGGTGAAATAGAAAGTAATTTATTTTAAAAAAAGAAATAACGAAAAGATTAAATAAATGGATTACAAAATTCTTACTTTTCATGATCCGGTGACAGATATGAATCGATGGAATCGTATCTGGACTTCTGTATGCGGAACATGTTGGTCTTGAGCGGCTCAATGCCGCGCTCCTCGCGCGTGCGGCAGTCCACAGAGGCCGAGATCACGTTCCAGCGACAGTCCACGTCCGTCAGGTAGCCGCGGTATATCGGCGATGCCGCGGACAGCGCGAGCTGACCATGGCACGATATTAAACACTACCAAGCTCGAAGTATAACAATCTTACTAATATTATAAATGCGAAAGTTTAGATGGATGGATGTTTGTTAGAGTTTGTAGCCGAAACGGTTGGACGGATCTCAATGAAATTTGCCATAGATGTAGAGGATAGTCTCGAAGAACACAAGGCTACTTTTGTTTTTTCTAATTCCTCGCGAACGGAGTTACGGGCGAAAGTTATTTCAAGATAAAGGAATATAATATAATTACCATGATAGGACATAATGGTGCAAGCTGATCATACAATGTCCGTGCTTCGGTGATGCAGCAAGCCTGGAAAGTGAGCTGCAGACAGCAGCAGCCCATGCCAAAGCCCATCGCGTCCATATACACACAGTCCGGTTGGGCTATCCCCGGCTCCAGAACATGGGAGTTGTCCACTGGTATTTGCGTATTTATATCCTTAAAAACTTTACAGAAAAAAACATTTGTTACACCTAACTTAATTTTACTGAGACTAAATTTTGTTTTGTTTTCTACATTAAAACACACTGAATATACTATATTCAATACTGATTTTATTACATTTTCCTTCAATGCCTTGAATTGTCAGTCAGTTATATTTCAACAAAGTGTTCAATGTTTTTTAGCTTAGTATTTTCACAGTAGCGGAAAATATTGAGCATCATATAATATTTTGATTCAAAAATAAACCATAAAAATACAACCCGTATTAAGTTTTTATTCTAGAGAATGTTTACTTATTGCTTATTGAACAATTAATACAAGAACAATGACTGTCTACAGATGAGGCAATGATAATCACATCTACAGACTGTCATTGTTTTTGTAACTAAAATAAGTTGAAATCAATGCTCAGACAATAAAAAATTTATTAACTCACTTGGTATGTTAATGGCTACTTTTTCCCCTCTACGCTCTCTAATATTCGACGTTAATGTTTTAAAACGAGGATGTCCAGGGAAAATTGCTTCATCAGGGAAAAAATGTGATAGAGTAACTCCAGTCTTGGGATTGGGGTTAAATGGTGGACTTGTAAAGTTTGGGCAACCTAATCTGAAATAAAAATCATAACAGTTTTAATCAGCTTGAACTTAATGAATAATTTATGAAATAACTTTTTTATTCTGAACCTTGGAAAATTGGTGATACTCATTATCACTTCTCCGTTATTCAGCAGTGTACTGGCTTCAGCTCTACGATATTGCATATTAGCTTCTACAATATTAAAGTGAGCTAATAAACCACCGTAAGGTTTCCCCGGCGTGCCTTCAATCATGTAAGCTCCATATTCAGGACGCCATAAAGATTTAACATCTAAAATTAGAATATCATGTTCAATGAATAAATGTTTGTTTCTCAAATATGGTTAACAAGTTAAACGCCATCATTTTTTTCATATTCTTCCGTTGACGCCACGGGGTACACTGGTGACCAAAAAGAAAATATCTGTTCAGGCTGTGGGGGTCATGGGTGACCATAAGTAAGATGTTTTAACTGCTTGATTTTGATGATGGTCACCGGTTAACCAAAATTTATTGCTATTACACAATTTATGTATTTATTTATTTACTTATTAGAAAAGTACACCAATTGCATGTTCAAAGTTAACAAACCAAATTAATATACTGTATACAATGAAATATATATATAATTCTATCAAATAAGAACATAAAAAAATGTTTTGAATTTTTGACAAAATACAAAATTTGATGTGGCCTGTTCGCAAAGTTGTGTGCTGGCACATTGAATCCCCTACGGCGTTTAACGTGTTAAATGAGCAAATCAATCTATAAATCATATCAAACAAAAGACAAATGTGTAATTGTTTGGGCAACAGGTAACATGAGATTTCCTTGTTACTAGTGAACTGGCAATAAATGACTTTCATTTATCTTTTGCCTATTACATAATATTTATCACCAGCAGCAATTCATCAAAGACTATTTGACAGTTTTACAGTCAAAGATCAGTGGCTAAACATAAATGAATGATTAAGATTATTGAATATATCACATTACAAAATGAAAGTCATTATAGTGCCTACTTCATTTCTTATCTAATGTGATTTAATTATAATCATGGACTTTGAATGTCATGTTGAGGTGTACTCATGTATTAATATTAAGCTTTTTATAGCAATGAATAAATCCTTATAATAATGAATAGACAGATTTCTAGTTTTAAATATAATTAAACTAGTTTTCGCCTGCGTCTCCATCTAAATGAAATTAAAAATAAAAAGTGTGTAGCCTATGTGTTCTTCAGAATATTCTCTCTCAAATCAGTTAAGCCATTTAAGCTACAAACTCTAAAACACATCCATCTAAACTTTTGCATTTATAACATTAGTATGAAGTATTATTATTCATATTATAAAAACTTTATCAATTGATCTGTTAAAACATTATGTATCTGGCTATTATAATTATTGAATTTAAAATTGTTATACTTGAATACATTAACTACAAACTTTCAATCAGATAAAAAATTATTACACAATATAATTTAGAATTTAGTAAGATTCAGACATTGCGATTTTTATTAATTATTTGTTTAATGGCAATGGATTTACTAGTAACAATAAAGTGATTTAGTAACATTTGGATATGCAATTTAACTCTGAAACTTAAATTATAATTTAATGAATATTTGATAATAATAAAGAATACTGTAAGAATAAATATAAAGATTGATTACTCTGTGGATCTGCATGCTCCTTTTCTTGCAGTTTTGGTAAGAGATCATCAGCTCTCAAACTGACAGTAGCACGCTCATTTTCATCATCAAATTTTACTACTATGTATTCCACCTATAAATTTAATATTATCGTTAGTCTATAGTGAAGGGAATATACATAACAAGAACATTCATCATCAAGTACACCAAGCCTTTGCAAAACTAACCTCATCTCCCCATTTTAAAACATCTCCAGTCCGTTCCCGTAGTTTACTGTATAAGTTAATAAATTGTTCTATTCCGTGTTGACGCACGTGTTCTGCCAACGCCTTTGTTTCTTCCCATGACAGAGGGCTACCTTCAGACAGCAAACCCATATTCACAACTTGAATTCGTTGATAGCACGTCCTAGCTTTGCGTAAACTTTTGATATTACCAAAAACTAAATTTTTCCTTGGAAATACAGAAAAAACGTTCATCTACTATCACCTTAAGAAAAATATTTAACTAACACGAATATTAAGGTAATGTCAGGAAAAGGTATTTGACAATAATTTTGATTTTATAAGTAAAAACTGCAAATCATTGATACACAACTTAAATACTGTTACCGAGTTTTTTCAACATACTTCGACACATAAACCCATTAATACTACTGAAGTGAAGATTAATAAGTTGAAGATTTTATGACAACAATCTACTGTCACAACAAATGTCACTTTGACATTCGCCGTAATGACAGCCTTATCAAATGTCAAAGAATAAGGTGAATCGTCTTTTAGAAAAAAAGTAAAGCTCAGCTTTATTTTAATCTGTTCTTTTTTGACGTTGATGTTCATGGCAACATTGTTGTGAGAAAGTGACAGATTGATGACATTTTATTATTTTCATGAAAATGTTTTTAATGTTTTAGTTTTGGTTAGCTTTAAAATTTTGTTTATAAATAAACGAAAATGTTTTATTTAGTTTACGATTAAAGTTTATATTTTGTCAGAAGCTACTACATCCATCATAATGGTACCAGTAGCAATCGAAGGTTGCACCCAGGGTGCTGAAGGCGGTGGGGCCCGCGGAGGTTCTATTTCGCTGGCTCTTCTGATTGATTTTATCGTACAAAGAACTTACGATGAGCTCACAGTGTTGGCTGAATTGTAAGTAAAAATTATACAAGTATATTATTGTTTCATCCAGTTTTATATTTTTCAAGATGTTTTATAATAACATTCAAATTGTTTATTTAAGGTTGCCACGAAAAACCGACATAGAACGTAAAATAGAGATTTATAAATTCAGTGCTCGTACAAGACAATTGTTTGTACGGCTTCTTGCTCTAGTAAAATGGGCAAGCAGTGCAACTAAAGTTGATCGGTCAGCACATATTATGGCATTTTTAGACAAACAAGCACTATTGTTTGTTGAGACTGCTGATGTATTAGCACGGGTGGCTCGTGAAACTCTAGTACATGCTAGGTAAGTTCTTTTAGTTTATCCATACATGTAGATTTTAGAATACATGTAGTATTCTAAAATTTTATTAGTTTATTAATAATTTTAATGTTTTAGGCTTCCTACATTTCATATGGCAGCAGCAGTAGAAGTTCTTACATTAGGCACATACAGCCGACTTCCAGCTGTAATACGTGAGAGACTGGTGCCACCACCATCTTTAACTCCTGCTGAAAGACGCTCCACATTGCGTGCTTTAGCTCATGTTGTCCGTCAACGTCTTACTACAGCCTCATTACCAACTGATGTTAGAAATTTAAAGGTATATTTACATCATAATTAAAATAAAACACCAAAATATGACTATATGTATCCATCATCAACATTATATTTTTTTCTTTTAGGTAGAAAATGGTAGAGCAACATTTTCTGTTGGTCAAGAGTTTAGTGTCTCCCTTACAGTAATGGGTGATGCACCTAACTTGCCTTGGCGCTTACTGGATATTGCTATTTTAATTCAAGATTATGAAACTGGAGGTAGGAAAATAAATTGTCTGTATAACAGGGAATTTTTACATTCTCATTTAATTCTTTACTTAGCATTTCTCATATTCATTAGGTTATCAAATTTAATGGTATCAAAAATTTTAAAAAACCTGCACTTATTTCAGAGGGTAAACCATTGGTTCACACATCGCAACTAGCTTGGTTGCGTGGGGTGGCACAGGCACGACTCGCTGCAGCTGGTTTGAGCGGCGCTCTCACTGCATTGCGATACTTCTGCCGCTCTCTGTCCCTGGAATTACTCTATACACAGACGTTGCGACTTTGTCGTGACCGCCTGGCAAAACATTTACAAGTTGACAAGTATATACCCGGCCAGAAGCTACAAGTGTCATATTGGAGGTATTGTTAGATAAACATACAAATATTATAAATGCAATTGTTTAAAAGATAATATTACATAGAACAAAGCAAAAGATATATTCTGCTTTCAAGTCATAAGCAATAAATTAGCATATAATATGTATGTAATGGATGTTATGTGAGCATATTGACATTCAAGTTGTATTCTAGGGAGCTGGGTTGTGAGCTGGGGTATCGTGTGATAATCGGTGCGGAGGGGGAGTCGTTGTGCGTGTGGCACGTGCCGGCGCTGGCGGGCGGCGAGCGCGTGGCGGCCGCGCTGACGCCTCACGCGCCCTCTATGGAGCGCCTGCTCGCACACACCGTACATGTGCGCTCGCGACAGCGCCTCAACGACCTCAAAGTACTGCTTAATGATTTAGGGGTGAGATATTTGCTTTTTTATTGTAATATACATATTCCAGTTATAACAACATAATACATATAGTACTATGTTTTATATTGTTTATTAAAATACATAAATTACAGTATAATAATCAAATTTGATTAAGAAATGTTTACAATACTTTCAAACCCTCGCATATATTCCCGTGTAAATGTGAGTCATAGTTGGTCAGTGCAAAATACCTTTGGCTCTTTGGCTGACAAGAAGTGTGGATACAGCCAAAGACAAGACAAGACAAGTTGCAAACTGGCCACCAAAACATTGCATGGTTTATTAAGGGGAAGATAGAAAAACAGAAGAAAAAAAAAGAAGCATAACAGATGTGATTGCGATGTAGTTGGAAAAAAGTTTTGTTTTGTATTTTTGACTGGCGCACTGTCGGTAACAAATTAAGCAATGGTATTGTGCAGGTGGAGTGCACAGTGAGCGGGTGGCCGTGCGTGCTGGCGTGCAGCGTGGTGTGGCCGTGCCTGCGCGCGGAGCAGCTGCTGGTGTCAGTGGGCGCGCACGGCGGGCGGCTGCGCGCGCGCGTGCCTGCCTACCCCGCCACGCCGCGCATGCCCGACCTCGCCGCCGCGCTCGCCGCCGCCAACTTACCCCTCGTTAAATTATTGCTAACACAACTTAGGTTTGTATTATCTGATCATCTTCAAATTACATCTCCCAAAGTTTTTATATTAGGTTAATTTGGAAACTCTATTGCAGGTTTTGGCTAGTGGCCCGTCGATGTGAGAAAACGTTGCAACACTTGCCAGCCAGCGTTTGCGAACATCTGCCGTTCCTTCACGGACCGGACCATCCCTTGAACAAGCTGTCCACTGATCGCCTCTACGTCACTTTACATCGGCACACTGATTATCTATTGGTTTGTTCAAAATAATCCTTTAAAGCTTACAATTATCTATAGCACATATTAGATATAGACGTTAAAAAAAAACATACAGACGAATTGAGTACCTCCTACTTTTGGGAAGTCGGTCAAAAAACGTTACAACGAATTTTGGTTCGGCAACCAAAATGTTTATGATATCGGGTGTGAAAGTGCAGATTTACATTTGTTTTCTTCCTAACATGAATTCCTATTATTAGATAGTGGAAATGAAGGAGGTGGCGGCGGGCAGCACGGCCACGACCAGCAACTGCACCAACAGTGGCAGCGCCTGCTCCGTGGCGCTCGTCTTCCACCTCGCGGGCGTGCGACGCTGCACGCCGGACGAGTGCGAGGATGAAGTCAGTAATAAATACACGAAAAAGTTTTCATGTCTAGCAATATTTTCTCTTATTAAACAGCAATATTTTTGTGGCGGATGTCTTTAAGGAAGTTAATTTATGTCCAGAGTGGTGCGACGAGTAGCGCCAATGCGTCGCTCGCCTCGCGCGCCTTCCTCAAGCTGCACTCCGTGGTGGAGCTCGACACGTTCACTCTCACGCACGGACCATTCACACCACTTGATACTCCCGGTAAATACTTAATAACTTTACTATTGTAAAAATTCTATTTGAAATTATTCTTATACATGTAATGCTAATTGCAATCGTATATGCAGGCATGCAGGCGGGCAAGCGCAAGCTGGCGGGGGGCAACTGCCGCGCGGTGCGCGTGCGCCAGCCTGCGTACTTCCTGCCCGAGCTGGCGCACGTCGTGGCCGCCGCAGACGAGCGCGTGCCATTCGTCAACCTCGCACAAGAGGTGTGTTTTACATTGTATTATAGATACGAGCTGTCGCCCGTAAACTATTTTAGCGCGAAATTTTTTTTTTCACATTTCCGTGTGCATCTACCTCCTACCAGCTATCTTTCAGTCAAAGTTCCATCAAATTCGGACTACCCCTTACGCCATTTTTACTGCGCCGAATAAAAAAAATAGTCGATAATATGCCGTCTATGTATGTCAGCGATCCTTCAGTGAAAGTCCGGTCGAAATTGGTCTGGCCATTTCGGAGATTATCCGGAACAATCGCGGCTTGTGGACAGACTGACACACAAACAACTTTTTTTTAATATTAATTTCAGCAACGCAAATACATCATTTTGCGTATAATTTTTCTTTGATATTACAGACACTCCAATTTTATATGGTGTAGATAGATATAGATTAAGTTATAAAATTAATTTTGATACGTTATCAGCGTGTTATATTGTGTGAATGTTGTATGTAGCTGGCGAGCCGCGGCGTGACGCACGGCGGCGTGATGCCGGAGTGGAGCGGCTCC